ACTGTACACACAAAAATTATCCCGATTGTTCACTAAACAGGTCCATGCCATTTTACTTCAGAGATCCCAAAATCAGGTCATATGAAAGATAACAAATGTGTTTAGGTCACACAGAAAGTTCAACTTTGAGCCAGATTTTGAATCCAAGCTGGTTCTAGGACTTGCGACTTCAGCTCTGAACAAGCCACTCTAATGCTCAGTGGTTTCTCAGTACTCTTCTAGTAATGTGCCATTTGGTGTTTCTAATCATGACTAGCTATTAACTTGAGTATTTGCTTTTCACATCAGCTTGGGTGTTGAAAACAAAGGTAGCTATTTTGATAAAGAACTCAGTTGAGATGATAAACGATCCGACTGTTTTATGCATAGACACCTGCGAGAGCATCTTTGCATCTTCATTTAAATCTCACTGACTAAAATGTTTCTCCTTCCAAAATAATTACCTTATGGGACAGCCCTCAGACAAATTTGCATACAAATATTTTGTTACTCTATTATTTTCTGTAATCAGATCCCCCTGACTCACCCAATACTCTTGTATCCAGATACTTCTCTTTTCCACATTCTGTGAACTTACAGTTGGCCGTGCTTAGCAAGCAGCTGCCTGCAGCCTGAGGGCCTAGTGAGAAAGCTGCAGTGCTTGCACTTTTTTTTTTTTTTCCTTTTAGGAGTTCAGAGCAAAAACTATGGTGGTAATTTCTATAACCTCAACATAAAGTTATGTTATTTCTTCAACTACTCAAGGTTCTTTGGTCATTTAATGCTACACTTTAATTCATATTACATAATGTCAAGGTCTAGTTTAAAGGGAGAGATTTTTTCAAGTAGGTGTAAAGATGCAATATGAGAAATAAGAAAAATACGTCCTTGTAAAGAGAGATGGACAGATGGAGATTTGTTGGTCTAGGGTAAAAGGAACAAACAAAGGTTTTACATGAAGTACCATGGTCTATGGAGTATCTTCATGTGTCCGTAACATATATTTCAGAGTCAATCCCTTGACTATAATGGGAATTGATATTTTGGCCATGGTAATTTAAAGTGCACAAAACTTCCAAATAGATCATTTAAAAAAAAAAAAATGAGAGAAAAGAGAGAAATAAGGAAAAGAGAGACTGCTGTGATCAGAAGTCAACAAGAAAGTCTATGTATTGGGACCGGCAGATGGCATAATGGTTACTTTGTTGGACTCACAGAGCCTACTGTTTTTTAAGTCCCCTGAACCTGAATAGTAACTTGAAACTCATGCCAGGCTCATGTGAGTGTGTGCTCAAAATCCCAAGGGGAGAATGGAGGAGAAGATACTGTGATGTGGCCATATTCTCTGGGAGTTGATTTCTTGCTTTCGATCTCCCTATCTCTCTCTATTTTTCCAAAGAGCACATACAACATAAAGAAAAGTCTGTCTAAAAAAAGGAAGAAAAAAAAAAAGAAAGAAAGAAGAAGTCTATATATCAGAATAAATTTTAAAACAGCACCGATTAGTTTAAGGCTGATTGCCTGAACCAATCAGTAATCAATAAGCAAGTGGGGAAAAAAAGGACTAAGTTTTCTTTAACTGAAATATCAAAAAACTATGGCCCTCAGCCAAATCTGACCCACGGCTTGCGTTTCTAATGTCCAGGAGCTAACAATAATTTTACATTTTTAAATATTTCAAAAAGATAAAGAGAATAATATTTCTAATACATAAAACCTAAATGGAACTCAAATTTAAGTGTCTATAAATAAAGTCAACACCATAGCTTAGTGGTTAAGGACTAGTCAGATTCCACATGGCCAACCACAAATCATTGGCATTGGAAGCCTAGAAAACATGCTAGGCGTGCAGGCATATGACCCAAATCCCAACACAAAGGAGAAATGGACACGAGATCACCACATGACCATGTGCAATTGGGAAATCCTCTCTCTTTTTCTTTCTTTCTCTCTCTGGTGAGTTCACTCATCCCCTGACAATTAAAATTCATCATATGCATACGTATTCAGAAATAAAGATTTCAATTCTGGCAATATGGAGTGGCAGAAATTTGTTTTCTCTCTTGTTAATAAGTGCCTACATCTTTTATTTTTGTCACTTAGCAAATGAAGACTAAGATTATACTAGCTAGTCCTTTATAGCAGAGAAAAAATAAAAAGGCAACCTCTGGTTTAACTAAATCAGGACACTGAAAGGAGATGATTCCTGTAATTACATTTCCAGGAGTCAATCAGGGTGGTAGATGGACCACAGTTCAAGTCCCATGCCCAGTGGGTTGAAACTCATGCCGGGAGCATGTGCATGCATGCCCAAGATCATGGGAGGAGAATGAAGAAGGGATTTTGTGTGGCTATTCCTCTGGAGGTGATTTCTTACTTTCCCTCTCATTCTCTCTCTCTCTCTCTCTAGCAAGCACACAGGCCCTAAGGCTAAAACCTCTACCCCTCCCCCCAAAAATACATTAAATATGTTCTTTATGTTTAAATTTAAAAACTGGAAAAAATGCTCTGGAATTAAAAGCATGGCAATACTCAGAAAGAGAAGGATGAATTCATGACTCAAATGTTTTTCATCTGAAAGGTGACTTTTTAAATTATAGCTAAACATCCACTCTTTTATCCTGAGAAGCTGACTTTGACCTCAAAGACAAGGCCCTTAAAGGAAAGATTTGATTGATGCAGGTAGGAGATAAGATAAGGTGTCCCTTGATGATTCTACTTAAGCAGGATATTTAAGTTAGAGTCCCTATTTACACATACACTTTTTTAAATAACTATATTATAAAAACTAGAATGAAAGGAATTAAGTTTAAAAGGACTAAATGGACAGGCCAACTAACCCCTTTTGTCGTTGGTTTTTTTTTGGGGGGTATGCACTATAATAACAATTTCTTCTAAATGATCTTATGGATTGTCTTTGCATTTTTTTTTCTTTTTAATGGAGGAATTAGGGTTGGAAGTTTTCTGTTTTAGTCTTATTATCTTATCTCATTAATTAAATGCTTTAGTTTTATGTGCTTTGATTTCACAATTTATTTGTTTCACAGAAGATATGACAGATAAGCAGAAGCAAATAAAGAGCTTCCATGGCTTATATTGGTCATGAAAGCATTTCTCTATAACATTTAAAATTAATTTTTAGCATGAAAATTAATTCACAAGCATTTTCTTCATCTAAACATGCCAAATTCTTAACAATAAAGCTAAAGGAAACTATGACCGTCAGTCCAAATTATTGTTTTTTAATAGGCTTTTCATTCGGAGATGCCTTCTGAATCCATGGAACTGATTTATGAGCTGTCAAAGGGAGAAACAATCATGATTCAAAGAAAACATGGGGAAAATATATTAGTTACTGTAAGTAATTATATGATTACTGAAAGAGCATATATCGATAAACTTAACCAATATATTTTAACATTTAAGTCTAATACAAATCCTTTGCTAAATTCATCAAGTGACTTCCCATATCATTCAGAGTAAAATTCTAAGTCTTCATTAAGAGTACAAAGCCTCTGGAACCAGCAGGTGGCACAGTAGTTAAGGCACTGGATTCCCACATGGCCAAACACGGTTCAAATCTTGGACCTATCAGCTTGAAACTCAATTCCCACATGGCCAATCATAGTTCAAATCTTGGACCTGGTTGCTTGAAACTCATGCCAGGCACATGTATGTGTGAGCCCAAAATCTCCAGGGGAGAATGAAGGAAAAGAGATTAGTATGACCATCCCTGCTGAGGGCTGATTTCTCAGTTTCTCTCTCTTTGTCTCTCTCTGTGTCTCCAGTGAGCGTACATACCCTATAGCAAAAATCTCTCAAAAGACTAAAAACAAAAAAATCATAAAGCTTCCTTGTGATAACCTTCCTACCTCATCTTCCACTCTCTCCCTCATTCAGTCAGTCCTGCTCCTACATTAGTCTAATCTATTGTCTTCAACAAGCCAGGTGCCCTCTCACATCAGAGAATGTTTGCTGTTCCTTCTGCCTGAGAGATGCCCTGGGAGATGCTGTTCCCCAGCATACTACTGGCCGGCACTGCCACTGCCTCTCCAAGTTCTGCCTGTTTTCCTTGACCACTCCCCTATGTAACTTTCAACTCACTTTCCTAATTCTTTGTTTTCTTTTCCTGAAGCATACTGTGTCCTTTGCATTTTCTCTCTGTTTTTTGCTTATTTGTCTAGTCAATTGCCTAACCTTCTCTGCAGAATACATGCTGATTGATACCAAAGTTTCTCATCTGACACAGTCACTGATGAATCTTAGGTGCTAGAAAAGCATAGGACATATTCAATAAAAATTTGCAAAAAAGAAAAGAAATACATAAAGTTTTGCAGTATTTCAGTATTTCAGAATTTACTTTTTTTTTTTTTCCCATAGGCACATGCACTTGCCAGAGAGAGACAGAAAGAAAGTGAGAAATCTTCCACTCATGGGAAATGGCCAAGCCACAGTTCCTTCCCCTCCATTCAAAATCCTCCTGGGATTTGAGCACAGACATATGTACATCCAATGTGATTTTCAAGTCACCAGATCTGGGAACTGAACTGTGGTCCACCACGTGGAAATCTAGCACCTTAACCATCATACCACCTGCTGCCTTCCCCATCCCCAGGATTTACATTTTTATTCAAGATTTTTATAGGTAGCATAGAGAATAAACTAGTTCAGGTGTTTCTATAGAAAATGATATAAACATAAATTGTAATAACAAATTTAAAAATTGAGATAAAAATTTCCCAAGAGGTCATCAGAAAGCTAAGTCCCTCTTCAGTTTCTTTTTATTTTTTATCTGCTCTGTTTGTTTCTGATTGACTTTACTCTCAGAGGCTCTCTTCTAGGCAGTTTCATGGATGCTGAAGTGCATGAACTTGTAGCATCATTTCCACCACTGCCGTGAAAATCAGAAGGAAAGTTCTGGCTATTTTTACTAATATTTGTTTCCATTCTCAAACCACTGATGATAGTCACGGGTAGAAATTCCGTAATCAGTCAGGTCTCAATCCTATACCCACACATACCGAGGCCTTCGACACAAGAGTTCTTTCCAGTTCCTCTACGTGAACCAAGGCTTTTTCTTCCCAGAACATGTTCACCAAGAAGATTGTCTTCATTCGTACTGAATTGCGGCACCTTCTGAATTTCATGCCATATGTATTGAGAAACATTTTGATGAAGAGCAGAATCCTGAATAGTTACAGAAGTTAATAAGGGAATAAAAACAAAAATGTTTGCCTAGCCAAGAAAACCTCTCCAAAAAGGAAGAAGAGTAAAAAAAAATAGTGTAACGATTGGATAAGCACTAATCTAGAATGTGATGTTCATAACCATTCCATTAAGAGATTGGCAAACAGATATCTTTTGCATGTATGATGAGTTTCCAAGGTTCAAGGAAAATGAACAATATTAAAAATAACATGAACTTCAAAAACTGCACCAAAATTAACTTGTTTTTTAATTTACTTCCATTTTTCCATGATCCCTCCATTTTTTTAAAAGTGTTTGCCATAGGGTACCTGTGCTCACCAGAGAGACAGAGACAGAGAGAGGTAAAGTGAGAAATCATGCCATCGGGGTATAGTCAAATCAGTTTCTTCTCCATTATCCTCCTTGGATTTTGATCATGCACACACCTATGTCCGGCATTGAGTTGCAAGCCACCAGTTATAGGACTTAAACCACGGTTGGTCGTGTGGGATTCTAGTGCTTCAACCACCATGCCACCTGCTGGCTCCATTCAGGAACTTTTTGATTTCCTCCTGATATATAGTTGGCCATGCAGCCCATAGAAAGTATGGGACTAGCAAGTGGCTCGGTGGTCAAGGGTGCTGGACTCCTACATAGCCGATGGCAGTTGGACAGACCTGGTGATTTGGTCTCTCTTTCTCTCTGTTCCTCTCTGGTCAAATTTAAATAAATAAATAAAAAGTGAAAAAAAAATTATTTAAAAAAAGAATTAAAATAGAAAATAAACTTATGGGATCAGTAGATAGCATAATGGTTACATCTCTGGACTCTCAGGTAGTCGACTGTGGTTCGAGACTCAGACCCAGCAGCTTAAAATTTGCGCTGGACAGGTGTGTGTGCATGCCCAAGATTCCAAGATGAGAATGGAGGTGAAGGGATTGCAGTATGGTCATTCCCCCGTGGGAAGTGATTTCTCACTTTCTGTTTCTGTCTCTCCAGTGAGTGGCCTGTAGCAAAAATCTCTTAAAGAAAAAAAGACAGTAAACTTCCGTGACTAGGGGCAGTTTGTTTTACATCTTAGATTAAGGCACTTGCAAAAATTAGGCTACTAGTTTCTCACAGAAACTGGGGGGTGGGTTCTCTAATCAAACCTAGTGATTACATTTCAAAGAGATGTTTCTTAAGTACTTAAAAAAAAGACATTGCTGAGTCATAAAGCTGCCCAGAGGCTTGTTTAGCTTTTTAGAAACATTTATATACATTTCAAAGAAAGGAAGCCCTTACAATTTCGAGTTTTCTCATGTAAATAATCTAAGAAAAAGGGTCTCTTTCTTCATTTCCAACTAAGGAACGAAATCCTTTATTTTAAAATTTGTATTTGCCCTGCCGAGGTAAGTTTTGAAAAAGAAAGTAATAGGACAATAATAAATAAAAAGATTACATTTCTGTGTCAAGTGTAGTAAATAGATTGTTTTAGGTGCAGGGTGAGGTACTGGATGAAAAGAGAAGATCACAACCACATAGAAGGCAACATCTAAAAATGAACACTTTAAACCTGAAGATTCCCAGAGTAATGATGAATAATTGCAGAAACTGGAATATACGAGTCCCTGAGAAAAAATTCTTGGGACCAGCAGTTAACGTAATGGCTATGTCACTGGACTCCCACGTAGTCGACCGCGGTTCGAGTCCCTGACCCGGTGGCTTAAACTCAAGCCAGGCGCGTGTGCGTGCATGCCCAAGATCCCGAGAGGAGAATGGAGGCGAAGGGATTGCGGCATGGCCACCCCCCCCCCGGGGGGAGGTGATTTCTCGCTTTCTCTCTGTCTCTCTCTGTCTGTCTGGCGAGGGCACGTGCCCTATGGCAAAAACCTCTCCAAAAAAAATAAAAAGTTCTTTAGTTTATTTCCATCCAAATTGTAGTCCCTCGCATTGCACTTTTATAATTGACACTTAGAAATTGTAGCTGAATACTGTTCTTCAGAGACTTACTTGGTTATAGTATATACTAAATATACTGTAGCTTAAAATTAAGTCATTGTTAGACTATGCCTTGTCTTTTATTCTTCTTTATCCTTAGTGCTCTCATCCTTGAATTTTTATTTTCATAAATATAATAAGCACTTCTCGTCAACATGATAGGACATGCCAATACGCCACATTCTTCCACCCCAAACAAACAGAAAACATAACGTGGAAATTGATGGGGTTGGAGAGGGAGAGAGAGAGAAGGAAGGAAAGGAGTGAAGGAAGAAAGGCGAGGAGGAAAGGAAGAAGAGGGGGGAGAGGGGAAAGGAAAGAAGAGAAGGAAGGAAGGAAGAAGGAAGGAAGAAAGGAAGAAAAAAAAATGTCCCTACCTATAAAATGGAGAAAAGAATTCAACACAAAGCCAGCAGAGTAAGAACAAGTAAACTATTTAGCCCATATTAACACTCTGGCATTGTGCTGTGTGTGTGCGTGCACGAGTGTGTGTGTGTGTGTGTGTGTATGTGTGTTTGAGGGCGTGGGTTAGTTAGAACTGCCGCCTCAGGACTGTAAGAGGTCTGAAATCCTTGAGAGGCTCAGTAAATAAAGGACAATGGCCAGCTCCATATACTGTATAAAATTAGAACTCTCACCCACAGCTTCTGCTGCAGTCACCCCCCGCCCCACAAAGGTCAGGCTTTAATAACTGCCAGCTTTCTTAATTATTGCTCATCTCTTTCCAATGCAGGACCAACCAGAGAAAGCTGAATATACTCTCCAAACTAATTATATAGGATGCCTGGATCTAGTTAGCTCTAGTTCAGCTTCCCTGTGCCAACAAAGTCCAATCACAGCATACCCCTAGACCTTTTCTCTTTTCCACTGTAAAGCTTTCTCTCCCCCCTGCCTGCCTTTGAGTCTCTTCCAAACACAAGTGTCAGTGGCTGGCTTCCTTTGCTATAGCAAGCTCTGAATAAATAGCCTCTGCTTGTGATCACTTGAGTGGTTTTTGTTTATGTCCACATACTAAAGGTCTTGGCAGAGGCAAATATGACTTCACCCTAGGTGCTCAGGAATTTTAAAACTCACTGTGTAAGCAGGATGGGAGGCAGGGGGGCAGGAAGAACTCACCCAAAAGGTGAACCATTATTATTATTTCCTAATACCAGTAAATAAGGACAAATACCATGAGAGTCAAAGGAAACAAAGAAGAGCTGAACAAAATACTACAAATAATGAATTTCTCTCATTCGTACATGCTATCTCGCTCTTACATGCTATTGTTTCATTTCATATTTGGACTATGAATGTGTGTAGTTTTGTTAAAGGAGATAAATATTTATTTACTGTTATAATTTTCATGTTGTTAGAGGTTTTTTTTTTAATATACTGGTAATCTTTAACTGTACATTTGCTCTTAAAAATGATCAGTGGACTTTTGTAGTTTTCCTTTTGATAGCGTAGTAAAGAACTCTTTTCCTTCTAAGGATCTCCTGGCAGGAGGAATTCTGAGCAGGGTTATGTGAAGCAAGGCAAGACAGGGACTGTCCACAGATGGGTTTCCCTTACAAGCTGTGGACTTTCCAAATATTTGAAAGGAAAGGACTTTTTTTCATATGTCAGTGTGGAACAAAGCATTTTACATTTAGCAATTGTTTTTCTTATCATTTGTAAGCTGAGTAAGTTGGTTGGTATTTGTGTTTCAGTTGTGCCCAGGCATTGCTTGTAGACTTGTGTTCTATGCCAGAGAAGGATGGGAATGCAGAATGTTTCAGTTGCTTGGGTTTAAGTTCCTGCAATCCAGTTGGCTTTAAACCTCAGCCCTCTGCAGTCATGACTCATCAGAGCACAGAGCCCCAGAGGTGTTTCTTGCATTGGTGCATTATCTATACTCTAGAGATGCTCGAAGTGTATATTCTAGGAAGCTCAGCTTTCAATTTCTGCACCTTCTTCCATCTATATGCTTCGTGAAATGGGATGAATTCTCTTATCTTCCGCCCAACCAGTAACTGTCTTTTCTTTCTTCAGAACTTCGCATTACAATTTAGTGCTACCTTCGGTACATATTGTAGAAAGGTAAATGCATATGCTTAAGATATGCATAATTTTCATCATGATATGAAAAATACTTTAGTATGCCTCATTTTAATGCTATACAGTAGTTTCCCCTTATCTGTAGTTTCACTTTCTGAGGTTTTAGTCACTTAGGGTGTAGTCCTATAAGGTATAGACAGTCCCCAAATTAACAATGGCTCAATTTATGTTTCAATTTTAAATTGTGTGAAAGCAATATACAGTAAAAATGGTATTTCAAGTATCTGTAAAATCATTTTGTACATTATTCAACAAATTACATGAGATATTCAACATTCATTATAAAAATAGTCTTTGTGTTAGATGATTTTGCCCAACCATGGGCTAATGAAATTGTTCTGAGCACACTTCAGATAGGTGGGGGTTAAGCGATGATGTTCAGGAAGTCAGATGAATTAAATGCTTTTAAATTTGTGATATTTTCGTTTATAATAGGTTTATCAGCACATTAAACCCTGTTGTAAGTCAAGGAGCATGTAGTCAGAGACAGATAAAGAGATCCTATTCACATGACTTTTTAAAAAATATATGGTTGGGCCCTGAGTGGCATGGTAGTTAAGTCAGCTGGATCCCACATGTCTGATTACATGATTGGCAGCCTGAAAAACATGCTGAGTGAATATTTGTGTATGCCACGTTCCTGAGAGAATGGAGGAGAAATCATTGCAAAAATTATAAAATGATCATTCTCTCTGGGAAGTGCTTTCTCACTTTCACTCTCTCTGAAGAGGACATGCACCTTATGACGAATTAAAACACATAATGTGTATATCATATATGTGTGTGTGTGTGTGTGTGTGTGTGTGTGTATGTATTAGTTCTTCTACTACTAGTTGTTACTGTTAATCTCTTACCATGCCTAACTTATAAATTAAACTATTTTATAGGTATGTCTGTATCGGGAAGCACAGTGCATGGAGGATTTGGTACTATCCATTATTTCATGCATCCAGTAGGTGTCTTAGAATGTATCTCCCATGAAGAAGGGGGAACAACTGTATATTACAAATTAATGAGAATTTCTTCCCCTTGTGAGATTCATAAATATGTTTTGTCTAAGACAGTGTTGAAATTTGACTGGAAAAAATAGAGACAGAAAAGAGGTTTATTCAGGCTTTTACAATAGGGATAAAAGACCAAAAGGGAACCTGAACTCTACCCACTGAAAGAAAAGTTTCAAGAGTTTTATGAATTGGGGTCGGGAGAGCAAAGTTCAACTATGTTTCCTATTTGGATTTACCTAAATGAAAAATAAACATTTTCTTGTTTTTATCTCAAGAAATAGTTACATAACTTGGGCTTAAGTGCCCAGAGACATTAGGTCCTTACCTTCCTGCCAAAAATGAGAAGTAGGAGTGCTCTCTTTTTTAGAGTTTACATTTCAAAGAAAAGACTCCCAGGTATCCAAGAAATAAAGGACTGAGTTGTAACATAGGAAAGGGGTCTTTAAAAACTTTGCATTCAAAGGTGCAGAGAAAGAGCTGATAATTACAAATTCTCTGAATTAAGTACACTAAGAAAATCAAAGTCTGGAGCCAAGAATCTTGTAGAAGGCTGCTGTCTACTGAGCTGAGTCGAATGCTAAGGTTTTCTTGATCAAGTTCAAGAGATTTCCAGCTAGTTTTCATTAACTCTTCTCCTAGAGTAGGTGAGTATTTAATGACTAAAGAACCCATTTGCTAGAAAAGCCTAAAGACTAAGACACATTTCTTAATTCATTGTATTCTTTATACCCTACACAGTCCTTTCACTTGCACCACTTAAGAAATAAAGCTCACAAAACTAAATAGCTTTTTCTTTAAAATTTGCCTTGTCTTTACTGGCTTTCTTTTTGTTCTGTACTACAAAAATGTCCTTGAAATAAACAAGGCTATGGGCTGTCTTGATTCATGGCTCTTGAAAAGTTCTGACTATTTATGAGAAAGATGTTAACTACTAATAACAATTTTAAAGATTGCAAACTACTAAACAAATATACAGTAGGAGATAATCATTGCATTACATTCCAGATATTTAGTGGATTGCAAAGATAGTTAATTTGTGTAATACAGATTTACTTAGCACAAAAGATTAGATATACATTTTCATAAAACAATGTAGTATTTGTACAATGGGCCTCCCCGATTTTCAGAGGTATCCTGTGCTCACCCGAGAAAGAAAAGAGAAAACATCCACTAATGGAGCATGGTCATGCTGCAATCCCTTCTCCAGTTCTTCATCCTGTTGGGATTTTGGTCACAGACTCACAAGCCAAGAGTGTTTTTCAAACCATCACATCAGGATTTGAGCTGCAGTTGGTCATGTAGGATTTCTCTCTGTCTTTCTCTCTCTCTTTTAAATAGGTCACTGAGGCTTTGTATTTTTGCACACAAAACCACTGGGGATCTGGCTTGTGGCCCCCTCAGAGATTACACTAGAGGTGCCGATGGTTCTAGATACTTGGTGTGAAGTGAGGGGAGAAAAATAATTTGGGCCAATCACATGATTACAGAGCTAGGGTTTCTGACAGGGTTCCAGGTGGTCAAAGTTCTAAGGAAGCTGCATGAGCACCACAGATCTGAGAGGAGCACTAACTACCAGAGGCCCTATAAGTGCTGGTTGAGCACCCTCGGCCTGAAGTCAGAGTCTACTTAGCCGCCTAGTGACTGAGGCCTCTGGGTCACCTGCCTTGGCCTACATGGCCAGGGGGTTTCTGAAGTTCCTGCTGGCAAACTTGGTCTTGCTGCCCACTTCCTCTTCAATTCTAAGGAGCTGGTAGTACTTGGCCAAGAGCTCAGACCAGCAAGTTGCACCCGTCTTGATCTGCCCAGTGCAGAGCCCCACCACCAAGTCAGTGATGAAGGTAACTTCAGTCTCCCAAGAACAATGAGGCACCTTCACACCCCTGCCATTGGATAGCACCAGCTTGCATGCTTGAAGGGACTCAGTCACAGAGCTGATCTGTTTCACTTTGAGCAGGAGGCAGTTGCACGACTTCTCACCCACGGCCTTGGCAATGCACTTTAGGTTGGTCACAGTCAGATCGTCTCCCACTACCTGGATTCCTGCAGTGGCTGTGAACTTCTGCCATGTGTTCCAGTCATCCTGGTCAAAGGGGTCTTTGATAGACACCACTGGGTAGTCCATGATGAAGGACTTGTACAGGTCAGCCAGCTGCTCAGGTGTGATGTACCTGCGGAAATCATCAGGAGACTTAATGTCCAGATCATACTTCCTAGACCTGAAGAACTCAGAGGCAGCCACGTCTGTGCCAAGGACAACCTTGTCAGTGTAGCCAGCCTTCCTGATTGCATTCTTCAGCAGCTCCAAGGCTTCTTTGTTCTCTTCGATATTGGGAGCAAACCCGCCTTCTTCTGGCTCTCTTAACAACTAGGCTACAGAGTGGCTTGGCCCAAAATCATTTAAAATTTTTTAATTTAAAGTAAGTGTTTTGCCTTTATGTTAGAGTATACTCAGCAGCTCATGTTTCTGTTTGTTTGCTTGTTTGCGTTTTTGTTTAAAAAGTGACTGCTTTTTCATTATTTAGGTTGATCGAATAACAAATATAACTAGAAATTTTAGGGTTTGGGTAGCTATAAGTCAAGATTGTACCCCAAGCTGTTGTGAGTTAATACAGTTAATACTGTGTATGTCCCATACACAGGTGTGGGACATATAGTGGCTGACAATTATTTTTTACCCTTGAGTATGTTATTGATTAATTATTTTAAGTGTTTTTAGTAGTGAAGTTATACAACCTGTGTAGATATAGTCATCAAGTAAGTTAACATCATTTCAAAAGTAAAGAAATAAAACAGTTTAACATTTTTAGATGTTGGTAAACTGGTAAATAATTAAAGTTTCATGTAACCAATACTTTATCTAAAATGTACTTGGTACCACCTCCCACTTGATAGAGGTCTGAAAAATAGAGTTGGAGGGAAAGATTTTCCAGTTACCTATTTGCATCTTCTTTTTCCCTTTAGGAGGATCTTAATAGAAGCTGTTATATATGTATATATATATATACACACACACATATATATATATACACACATATAATTATATATGTATACATATATATATATATATGTATACATATATAATTACTTTAGACAGTCTTGCTATGTCACAATCCTCCTGCCTCCTGCCCAAAAATCTCAAAAGGAGGGAGGAGTGGAGAAGAAGGGATTGTGGTGTGAACATTACCTGGTGGTGGGGAGGTGCTGTCTTGCCCTCCCTCCACCTTCTGCTCATGCTCTTTGGCAAATTTAAAAAATAAAAATGAAAAGCAGTTAGAAACTGAAATCAGGGGAGCTGGCAGGTAGCGTGTTGGTTTAGGGTGCAGCACTCCCACATGGTTGACCATGGTTCAAGTTCTGTCTTGCTTTCTCACTTGTTCTTATTTCACTCTGTCCCTCTCTAGTCAAAATTAAAAATAAATAATTAAATAAATAAAGCTAAAATAAAATAATTCTTAAAAAAGAAACTGAACTAAGAAACTGAAAGAAACAGTTTATGATCACAGCTACAGGTTAAATCTGTCATTGAATAGAAATTATATATTTTGTCATAGCAGTTTTACTAGATTATAAAAATTGTATTTGTTAATATAAAGTGAAACTATTTCTGGAATAGAAAGCACTTTATAAGTATTTTTATTAAAGTTGAATTACTAAACATAATCTAAAATCACAGCTGTTTTACTAATCTCTTATGATTATAGACATTGTGCTTATCAACCTGAATGCATGCAAACCAAGCCTTCCACTGCAACAATAATGTATCACTTCTCATGATTGACTACAGATGATCTTGCCAGTTATTTACAAGTTGATTTGCAATTTTTTGAGCTCAAACCTTCACAGAGGGTTTCATACTTGGTTTCTCAACATTACGTCTTGCTTGTAAACCATTGATACCTTGCATCTGATTGCTATCTCCACGTAGAACATTCTTCCCAAATTAAATTGAGGACATGCTTATCTAAAAGACTATTGCATGACTTGAAGTGATGGCGAAGTGCTTGTTTTCTATTACTTTAAACTAGATAAGTGCTAAGCAGTACCCATCAGTTAGTAAAACGTTTGAGGGGCAAGGACGTTTCTTCCAAGACTCCAGGGATCATTTTGACATTGCTTCAAATGTTCTGAAACAGCAATATTTTTGAGCTGCTTGTTTTGACATCAGTCACATAAATAATCAAGTGAATAGTACAGAAATATGGGTGAGTTGGCAGAAAGATCTAATCCTTGAAATCTATGAATAAGTTACAAAAACGGACATTGTACCTGAAATTAAGGCCACAAACCTTAAGTAGAGGGATTATCCTGGATTATCCAGGTGGGTCCAAAATAATTGCAGGTTATTAAAAGTCAATGCCCTTCTCTACTTTTAAGCAGAACAGAGATGTAGCAGAAGAAAAGGATTTGAGTTTTTTTTTTTTTTTTTTTCTCTGAGTTGTAGGGGTCCCTGTGTAGGGATAAAAGGGGTTCTAGGAAAGAAGGGCAACTGCCTACTGTCAATCAGCTGGGAAACAGAGACTTACATCCTACAATGAAAAGGAACTGTTTTTTTCCAAAAGTTTGAGTGAGCCTGGAAATGGACTCTTCTGCAAAGCCTCCAGTAACAAATAATGCCTTGCTAACAAGTTGATTTAAAGACTGTAATAAAATCTGATACAATGAGTAAGCTTCAAAAGGAAAAATGGCCATAGATTTCTAATGCACTCTCATTTATGTAAGTAGAAAGGGGCATTATTTTTCAATGCACTGTCACTTATTTATTCAATCAACAAGTTTTTCTAAAAAAGTTTTTTTAAAATGAAAGAGAAAGAGAAATTTGAGCACCCTCAAAAAGATCTGACGATGTGGTCACCCCTCCTACAGTCTTTCAGCCTGCCAGGATCATAGGCATATACTTGCCATGATGTACAGATCATACTGGGAGTCAAATCCCACCCAGTCTTCTGTATGACTTCAGCATTGAAGAATGTTGCATTGTTACTGCCATTATGGCTGGGCCATCAAATTTCATAAAAAGCAAAGTAAGAGTCAGGTGCTGCACAGTCCTGCAATATGGTATGGGAAGAAGTGAATTGGAAACTACCAACTTCCTGAAATACACATAATTAGGATGCACATTAAGTATGATGTTAGCAGTATGAAATAAAACTATGTTTTCCTCTTTGAAAATTAATAATATGTAAAGAAAAAAGAGAAAGAAGAATAGAGAAAAAAGGCAAGAAAATTTAGAGATTAAAGACAATTGTATCTGTGTAGGAGACATTAATTTGATATGCATCTCTTAGGTGCATGAAATCACATTGTTTTTGTTGTTGTTGTTAAAATCAAAGAAGTCTTTGCAGAGAGAGAGAGAAAAGAAAAAAATTGCCATTGTGAATCGTACCCTACTCAAAATTGTGATTATCAGGGGGTCATCAGCAATTTTTTTATTGTTATTGCCAAGAGGAACATGTGCTAGAGAGAGAGAAAGAGAGACTGAAAAAGCCCCCAGCAATGGGAATTTGGAGGCACTCTTTCTCTGTCTTCTCAGGACTACTCCTTTCTCTCAGGAGAGTATATTTACTTTTACTTAATAAACTACCTTTCTCTTACACTATTTGTGTGTTTCATTCCGTTCTTTGTCCGAAACACCAAGGACCTGGTTATCATCACAGATGCCATTCGGTAACATATATGGTGGTGATCCTGACCAGGACTCTAGCTCTTCAGGAACTCCAATTCCATAATGAAGGCTCATCTGCTCCTGTTGGAAAACTTGAAGAAACTGAAGGAATGGCCAGCCAAAGCACTCATGAGTCAAAGGGAAGAAATCGACTACTGAGAAAGCCCAGGGAGATCCTCTATGCTCCTGCCTGGAGAAGTCATCATAACCATGGAAGATCTTCAGGTAACTCTGGACATCATAGAAGCCATAAAATTGCAAATGACCATACAATAGAAATATCAACTTCTTGGGACCTCTACTGAATCCTGCCCCAAGTCATCTAGCATCAATGACAACCCTCCCATCGACACACCTGAGTATTATCTCAACAACATGCCCCTGGCCCCACTTTCCCACCTAGGTCAAATAGGGCAAAAGTTCCATGATCCTCAATAGGTAGGGCCAATGTGCCTTTCTAGCATGAAGCAGTTACAAAAACCAGACCATCCACCTTCAGCTTCCTGAAAAGATTTATGGGGATCATGCCTTTCAGGAGGAAAATGAGGCAGGAGAAAGCTAGAAAATGGAAGCAGATAAGGGAACTGGAACATCTGACCATGTGGCTAAATAGAATCAGAATAAGGCAGAAAATTTCCTTCTGAAGGAAATGTAGGCAGGAGATTAGTGAGGGATGTCTAGTTGATTAAGCCACATTTGATATAGTGAATGAGATGAATCAACAGGCCAGTCACATATGGAATAGTCAATGTAAAATCATTGGACTCAGCCACGTTTGATAGCCAATGAGATGAAAGCTATCAGTGGGCTCAGTCAATGATGAACCCACACAACCTAGGTTAAAAATAATAAATCTGGCAGAATTCAACAGCCTTTTGAATCACTTTCTCTGTCCACTCAGGTTTGCTCCTACCACTCAGGAGTACTTTTACTCTTACTTAATAAATTATCTTTTCCTTATCTATACCGACAGACACACACACACAAAACAAAACAAAACCCATCCAACAATGGGATCTGGTCATGCAGCAATTCTTTTTCTTCCATATCTACATCCCATCAGGATTCTGGGCATGCATATGCATGTATATACCCAGTATGTTTTCAAGCTGCCAGGTTTGGATTTGAATAGCAGTTGTTCACGTAGGAACTGACTCCCTATATATTATGCTTAACCATTAAGCTCTGAGGCTGGCCTTAAATAGCATTTATATTTATATTTGTCAGAAAGGATTCAGTTGAACTTTTGTTAATGTATCCATAAAACAAATTCTTAGATCTGACCTTTTTCAATTTACTTTGAAAAACATACTTTTCAAATATCTACTATCTGATTCCTTTTTTCTTTTCTTTTCTTTTCTTTTCTTTTCTTTTTTTTTTTTGCTAAGGGGGTGTGTGTACTCCTAGAGACAGAAAGAAAAAGAGAGAGGAAAAAAAAAAAAGTGTACCTGGCTGACTTGGGGGTCCCGGGGCTGAAGCTACAGGGGGCAGTCCTCCCTCTATGTGGATTCCACTTCCCTTAACCACTAGGCTACAGGGTAGGTATATGATTTAAATAATGATTTGGCCCCTTAATAGTGGCACTGCTTTATTTATTTAATTTAAAGAACTATTTTTTAAAACTTTATTTATTTATTTAATTTTGACCAGAGAGGGGGAGAGAGAGAGAGAATGAGAAAGAAAGCCATCAGGTTCAGGACTAGAACCATGGTCAGTCATGTGGTAGTCCGGCACCCCAGCACTCTTAATCATAATACCACCTGCTGGTCCCATATTATCCTCAATCTACTTTAATCTGTACATATTCTGTTGTCCTTGTCTTCTTTTTTTTTTTTTTTTTTCCTATTGCTTTTCTCCTCCATTCACCTCTCTAACTTCTCATTTTTAGTACTTGGACAAGACTATTTGCCACTTCATTTTCTAAGTTCTAATAGTAGAAAGAGGGATAATTTATAGTATATTTTCTTTCCGAATGTCCTCGAATTATTTGCAATAGGTGTATTTAAATGTAAGTGACTCATAGAATGATAGTATTTTTTGTTCTATTTTCTACTGTAAAGATGTTTGCCATCACATCTGAATTTTTGGTTCTCATTATCAATTCTTGTTCTAGAAATTGTGATGCATAAAACCGTAATGACAGTATCATAATTGTAACTATGGTTTCTCTTTCTTAAATCATCAGTGCTTATTTCCAATTTTTTTTTCTGAAGCTTTTGAATTTGCATTTTTGGCATAAGCCAAGAGAAAATAAAAATAAGAAATTCTTAAATGAAAGCAGCTGACTATAGGTAATATTTTAGTTTTTGAAAACTCTGTCTATAGAACCTACCATTTATACCTGAAATATTTTAGAAAAATAATGATTATGCTAAAAATATCTAAAAACAGCATTATTGATGTTTTCCTACAAAATACATTTTGTCGATATTTTCTCAACAAGTAGGAGTTAAAATGGTCTAGGAATTGGGGTAGATTTTTCTGGCCAAGAAAATGCAATGTCCTTAATTCTTTTTTTTTTCTTAAGAATTATTTAATTTAATTTTATTCATTCATTCATTTATTTATTTATTTTTAAAATTTGACCAGAAAGAGACACACACACAGAGAGAATGAAAGTGATAAAGCAAGTCACCAGGTTCGGGACTCGAACTGTGGTCAGCCATGTGGGAGTATCCATTGCCTTAACCACCATGCCACCTGCTGGCTCCAACAATGTCCTTAATTCTAATAATTTTTTTTTTCTATTTTCATCCTTACGTGCTGTTGTAGGACTTCAAGTCCACTCAACTATTTTTTCATCCATAATTTTTACCACTTAAAATAGTCTTATCTGGGAGGAAAAGTTCTATTTTTGTTCTGATTCATTAACAATACATGTGTGTACGTGTGCACGCAAACACACTCAATGTTTTACTTAATAGTTATGATGTTGAAAGGAAGAGTGAGGCCCCTTTATATTTCAAGTATGTTACACTTATGAAGAAAAAATATAACTGAATTTACCTATGGTCAAGATGCTTAAACTTAAAACTAAAGATAAGAATCTATTTATATGGCATTTTATGTAATCAGTAATATAGTACTTTAAATAAAATGAAAGTTTGCTAAGTATAACTCATATCTAACTGGTACCAAGGAATCTCAAAATAGTACTTGAACAAATACATGTAACCTTTACTGAGCATCTGTTATGTACACTGAGCATTGAAAAAGAAGGCTGTCCTTAAAAACTTTATGATCTATTGGGATATAAAAGTAGCTTAATAGATGTTCGTTATATGATAGACATTTACATTAAGAGCGTTGTGACCACATAGGAAGGAGCAAATGTAAATGATGGTGATAAAATAATGCTTCCTGAAGCTGATAGATAGGCCAATAGACGGGATGGAGGGAGAGAGTGGCAATCCTGGTTTTAGGAACTTACTGGGTAAGCTAAGAGGTAAGGGCAAATCTAGGGCTTTTGAAAGTTCAAATATTTTAATATAGCAGGAATTAAGGAGAATAGAGAGCTAATATTTTACTTTGCCTGATATATTAATTACTGTAAATCTATAATATCTCTGAGTTGGGCTATATTTATGATCTTCATATTTAATGAATCTTTCATAGCAACTCTTTGTTTATTTATTTATTTTTTTACTTTTTATGATTTACATGTGCTCATTAGAGAGAAAGAGAAAAAGGAAAATGAGTAAGACCCCCTAACAGGGTGTAGTTATGCCATAACCCCTTATCCTCCATTTCTTTTTGTCTGTCAGGATTTCAGACATGCATACACTTGTGCCTGGTGTGTATTTCCTTCTTCTTTTTCTTTTTCTCTCTCTCTTTCTTTCTCTCTTTCTCTCTCTCTTTCTTTCTCTCTTTCTCTCTTTCTTTCTTTCTTTCTTTCTTTCTTTCTTTCTTTCTTTCTTTCTTTCTTTCTTTCTTTCTTCTTTATCTCTTTCTTTCTTCTTTATCTCTTTCTTTCTCTTTCTTTTTTTTTCTTTCTTCTTTCTTTCTTTTTCTTTATTTTTTTCTGCCTTAGGGCATATGTGCTTGACAGAGAGAGACAGAGTGAAGCAAAGAGATAGAGACAGAGAGAGGAAAATGAGAAATCACCCCTTCCCCAGGGCAGATGGTCACACTACAATCCCTTCCCCTTTTGGAATTTTGGGCATGTGCACACACATGTCTAGCATGATATTTAAGCAACTGGGTCCTGGCTTCAAACCACATTTAACCATGTGGAATTTCAACACCACCTACTGGCCCCATCTTGATTTTTTCAAGCTGCTGGAGCTGGGATTTTTTTTTTTTTTTCTTTGAGAGGTTTTGTTATAGGGTGTGTGCGCTCACCAGACAGACAGAGAGAGACAGAGAGACAGAAAGCGAGAAATCACCCCCAGGGGAGATGGCCACCCCGCAATCCCTTCTCCTCCATTCTCCTCTCAGGATCTTGGGCACACACGTACACACGCCCGGAGTGAGTTTTAAGCCACCAGGTCCGAGATGCGAACCGTGGTCGACTACGTGGGCGTCCAGTGACATAGCGATTACACTAACTGCTGGCCCCCTGGGGCTGGGATTTGAACTATGCTTGGCTATGTGGAATCTGGTTCCCTAATCATTGAGCTACAGGTCTGACCTATTTTTTTTTCCCCCAAAAGGATGTTTATGATGAAAGTACTTATAGACATATTCACTAGTATACTTTGGTTAGTCTGAATGCCATAAAGCACAAACCGCATTTTTACTTCAGCCTTTGAAGGCAAGAATGAGATTGGACAATTATTTTGTTACCTTGGATATGGAGATGATTTTGTCTGAAGTGTTTTCCCAATGCCATATTTCGAGGTTGTTGGTGTTGAGAGGACTTTATTTCAGTCTGAAGGCTGGAATACTTAATGTTCATCAATAGCTTGGATGTCTCAAGACATACTTGTGGATGTGGTTTAAAAATGCAATGAATTTAGTGGCAACTTCTAAATAAGCCATTTTCTGATTTTATGTTTCT